CTATATAAACACCTCGTGGAGAGTTTTGCTTAAAGAAGATGAGAGAAATTAAACAGGAGCTCCAGGAGGATGTTGGGCCATGAGGGAGGGCTTTTTGCCCTCCGCCCCCCACCCCTCCCTTTTAGTTGTTTTTGAAAATACATACAGCAGAACACACACCCAGGCAGAAGTTTCTCCAAAAACAATTTAGTAACCCTGATTACATTCTTCAAGTTGTGAAGCCATCCCCTATTCAAGTTGCTGCTGTCAGTGTCACCGCTACCCTATAGAACAGTCGAAGAACCCGGTGCTTTCAGAGACACTAACTCTTTACAGGACTGCAGAGTCTCATCCTTCTCCTGTGGAGCAGCTGGTGGTTTTGAACTGCTGACCTGATGTTATCAGCCCAACCGGCACCCACTACAGCAAGTGAGTTTTTGACCTGGTGTCAGTTTGATCCCATCTGGGCCATTCTTTAAAAGAACCCAATGCCCAAGGCAGACATTTTCAGTAATCGATTTTGAACTATGGTTTGTTTTTAAAAAGACCCCGGAATGTTTTTGACTTGAAGTTTACAGATTGACTCAGGATTCATCCAGCCTCCGTGAAGCCAGAAGGTCTGTTTGAACTTACATTTTGGTTGCTATTAATGGAAGCTCTTACAGAACATTGTGGGAAATAATATGGGGGAAAGAGCAACAAAGGATGGTGGAGGAGAGAGAATTTATTGGAAAATCCTAGGTTACCTATAGGAACAAAGACTTCGGAGATTAGAAATGCTCTTTTTAGCCCATCATTAGGCTCAAATGCAATTGTAATTTGTATTTTGAAACAACATTTTCAGAGTCAGGATAGGTCTCGACTGGAGTTAAAATTATACACCTTCAAATGTGTGTTGACTCCACAGCAAAGAAGGTAATGTTGTTATTGACAATATCTCATTCATAAGACTACAAAGTCTTGACTTAATCCTCATTTACTTACATGTCATACCAATTCAGGTTCAAATAGTCGTGTATACTTTATGTGGGAAGGGGATTGAGAGAATCTTAATATGCAAAAGAAAAAGCCCTCTGCCTTGTGAAGCTGAGCAGGGGTCGTACAACTGCCTGGTGAAATAAATAAAACAAGGACTATTACAACTCCTCTTCATGGAGGAAGACAATTTCAAGTTTAATTAAAACTTAAAAACACAACTTTTTTAGGAATTTGGGCTCCAGATGAGATTGTACCACTGGTATTCTCGTTTCTCTCTCAAAACTTTTTCAAACACTGGTGCTTCAGTACATTGCGTCTCCATCACATAAGGCATTTCTGCCGTGGGAACTCTTTTTGCATTTTAAACATCCATTCATGACAGTGCTCTAATAACCAGGTGTCTAAAGAAAGAGCCATTTTCTTTTAAGATGACACTAGTTACAGATGATCCACCTTAAGTTTCTGCTGTGTGAGCCTCCTGATCAATTATGTATTTACCCACAGCCAAATGGCTGTGATATCTAGACAGTACCAGAAACTAACCTAATAAGCCTATTTCTTGCTAATGACCCCCATCACTCAAACCCAAGGAACTGCCTTCTGTTTAAGCTCTTTAAAAATCTGGCTTTCTTTTTTATACCATTTGCCTGGGCCTACACACTATTGCCAATTATAGTGAATTAATTATAATTTTTAAAGATTATTCATTTTTCTAAGTTGAAAACATTTCTCATAGATTCTAAATCATTATTAAATCCTGAAAATGTGTATCAGCTATGTAGATCCTGTCTTCAGTGTTTTTGGGGGTTGTTTTTTTTTTAACTTTTCTCCAGTTCTACTCAGACATACGTTAGTTACATGAGGGGTTTAAGCAGAGGGGGCTAAGAGTTCTCCTTCACAGTGAACATTTGTGTGAATTTAGATGATGGATGGATGGATAGATAGATGTGAGAGAGAGAGAAATGTATGGCATAAATGTGTGCGGGGGTGAGTGTGTGTGTGTGCACACACGCTTGCTCACGTTCACATATATGTGATGTATGACATAGGGGCCTCTCTTCCTGAATTAAATCTGGTAACTGGCTACAGTGAACCCTCGCCACTTCGCGTTTCAACTTCCGCGGCTTCACTCTATCGCGGTTTTTGCGTAACAGCGCATGCTCTGTCATTACTGCCACTGATTGGCTCATACTGTACACGCTTGATGCCATAAATAATATAATAAATAATAAATGATAATTGTAACGTCCAAAATGTTTTACTGTATTTTCCCTTTTTCGTTTAATAAATTGGGTAATACGAGTGTCATGGTGACTAAAGGGTGTTTTTCCATGTCCTCTATGCGCTAACTACGAAAAGATTTGATTTACAAATAAGGAACCCTACTTCGCGGAATTTCATTTATCACGGTAGGGTCTAGAACCGATGAACCACGATAAACGAGGGTTCACTGTATTGGGAGTCATATTTGTGGGAATATTTCTGTAGTTAAGATTATTGCCTAGGAGACACGGTAGGGCCGTCCTATTCTGTCAGGGAGGGTCAATGAGAGGAGGATGACTCGATAGCAACCAGCAACACTGGACTGCACACATTCTAAAGCGAGAGCTGTCAGAAACCGAGCCAGACATCCCATACAGTGTCCACTTCCGGTTGCCCTCGAGCAGATTCTGACTCACAGCAACCCCATGTGTTGCAGGGCAGAGTGGTGCTCTGTAGTGTTTTCAGTGACCGGTTTTTTGGATGTAGATCGCCAGGCCTTTCTTCTGAGGCACCTCTGGGTGAATTTGAGCCTTCAGTTAGTAAGCCAAGAGCATGACCAGTGGCACCATCCATGGGTTACTAAGGAGTGGAGAATTCTGCCCTGCCCCTGTCAGCCTCTTGTTCATGTTGGGGAACAGCAAAGAATTCCCCGCATTGAAGTCGCTGTAGAGAGAGCTGAGGCTTTGCCAGTCCTGTCCAGGGGAGGGTGCATCCCCTTTCCCTTCCAGGCTGAGCGAAGAGAGGGGTCTAAGAGTGCTCACACAGTGTGCCTGCAGGAAGGGAGGCTGGCATCTCTTGCCACGGTTGGCCTGGCAGACAAGAGTTTTGTTGACTGATGCTCCTAGCACCCACTGAAGCTGAAGAAGGGAGAAATGGAAGGAGGAGGCCAGGCAGACAGAGTCCCTGGGAGTGCAAATGGTCGACATGCTCAGCTGTTAAACGGAAGGTTGGAGGTTTGAGTCCAAACCCAAGGCACTTCAGAAGAAAGGCTTGACCATCTACTTACAAAAAGTCAACCAGTGAAAATCCTCTGGAATGCAGTTACACACACACACACACACACACACACACACACACAGCCAGTTACACACACACACACATGGCCAGTCACACACACACACGGCCTCCGTGAGTTGGAACTGACTGCCTGGCCTCCTCCTTCCATTTCTCCCTTCTTCTGTCAATCTTAATGGGAGCCAGACTGCCTCATCTTTCTCCCAAGAAGCTGCTGATGGGTTTGAACCACCACCTTGTGGTTAGAAGTCCAACAGTTGCCCATCAACACCTCCAGGGCTCCTCAAAATGTAGTGTTTATATACTTAAATCATATGGTTATGATTGGAGATAAGACTAGGGCCACTGAATGTAAAGGGCTCAAGACTCACCTTGTTAAAGAATTAATTTTTGAAAAGTAGGAAAAGGGGAGATTCCCCTGTGGAGGAAATAGCATGATGTTTAGAGAGGGGAGTTTGAGAGAGTTGAGATAGGGAAAGCTGGTGGTAAGTGGGAGATGGTTGGAGGGGCCTCTTGGTCAGACCATGGGATCATATTTTCTTATCAACGCCCATCCCCTGACGATCTGATGACAGACTGAGAAGGGGTGGGAAAAGAGGGTGTGTGTGAGTGTGTGTGTGTGTGTGTGCGCGCGCAGGCATGCACTTATAGAAGCTGTTTGTCATGCAAGAGAGAAGGGTTCCATTTCCGGTATGCTTTTTTGTTGGGAGGGAGTGATGTGCAGTCGGAGCTCAACTTTCTTTTCCCTAATTCACTTGCTGGTGGTCTCCTGGGCTGGGTTCCTGGACATTTTGTGGGTAGGTTCTGACAGCTTTCCTGGAGGGTGATCAGAGTGCATGCTGAGTACGTTTAGCACTCTGCCATTTTCTGTAATTCAATGTCATGTTCTTTTAGAATGATGGAATCCAGGGAAAATAACTGTATAAAGGTCAGGGCAGCTGCCAGTTGCTTTATTGAGTGACTTCTGCTTGTAACCCCTGGGCCGGGCCATCGGGCACTTTGGTGTTTGGGTGTGAGTAGATAGTATTGCCGAGGACTGTGAGTGGTGTGAAGAAGCGGCTGAACCACAGAGCTGATCCATTTGGCTTGCAACTGCTATTCCAGAAGGTTTCCTTCTCCTGGTTCCAATCACCTTCCCGCCACCTCCACCCACCTCCCACAGCTGGGTGGCGTCAAACTGACATATCCCAGTGCTCACCAAAGGTCAGCACTCAGCGACCCTAGTGGGAAACGCATCTTCTTTACGTAACGAACGCAGCACTGACTAAAGCCGGAACATTGTTTGATCGCCTCGATTTGATACCTTCAGACACTGAAGAGTGAAAATAAACATGGTGAATCTGAAAGAAAGGCAATATTAATAAAGTATCCTGTGGCATGACTGGTGTGAAGAAAGAAGTTATTTCTGATGTCGTTAACAATAGGACACAGTGTATGGATTTTATTTGTTTAATATTTCCCCTGAAATGTTAATGTATTGGTACCTTTCCTTTGATCTAGAACTAATGTACAATGGTCTTTTGCCTTGTTTTGCTTCCCCCATCCCCACCCCTCCAAGCAGCCTCACAGGTTTTTTGGGAAAAGAGTGATGTGGAAATCAAGGATTAAACCTTGGGCATCCTAAAACATTTTGGGTTGTTAAGCAGAATAAGAGTTGTGATGCTCTGCTTTTTATCATTGTCCTCTTCCTTTCTTTGAGGCTGCCTTGGCAGCTGCCATGTTTTAAATATTGACAAGATAAGAGAGTTTTCTGTTTGTGTCAGCAGTCGTCTGTCTGTGAAATCTGGACGAATCAGAATGCTGGATTTCCTTTCTCAGCGATCCATCAGGTTCATAATGTAAGGTTACAAATGGTTCTTTCTTCTTCCTGAACTTGCGCTATGCAGTGTGTTTGCAAAGTGTTGTCAAAAGCTGGAGGCACCGTGTCCTGGCAGTGCCAACAGTGTGTGATGTCCAGTGAATCTGGAGGCTCTTTGTCTACTCTACTTCCATTGACTGTGCCTTGTGACTAGTTCGTGTGCAAAACTTGTCCTCAGATGAGAAGCTACTCGGGTTTAAGGTCTGCAGTGAAAATCTGTCCCGTGTGAGTTCTGGCTTCCATTCCAGGTGTCTGTGTTGATTGCTTTTACAGGAAAAAGGAAAAGGGTAAATTGATATATATATACACGCCTATGTATATATCACTGTTCTTCTCCCCCATTTTGTCCTTCCCTGTGTTCTTGGCCTAGTCAACCCCTCGTGTTTGATGCAAAAGAAATAAATGCGTATGACTTGCATGATATTCTGTATACTTTATGCAAATGTGGGAGGAGTGAAGAAGGGAGAGGCACCAAGGCTACAAAGTGGTTCTCAGCCTTTGTCCATGTGACAAAACCAAACCTGTCTTTGGAGGATGGGTGAAATTGTGACCCATTTGACTCTGAGCTCCTTCCTATTCCCAGTATTCACAATTGACCTCCATAGTCCTCAAGGAAAAAACAACTCCTTCAAAAACACAAACATGTTTTAACCTTTTCTTTTAGTAACATTTCTACGTTCACATTCCGTGATCTTCTCCCCATTGGACAGTCGGCTGTCTGAGAGGTCGAGGCATTTGGTTGAGAACCATGGGGCAGAGACCTTGGCGTGGCATGCTAGGGCTTCTCTAAGGGTGCCACAGAGTCCCCCACCTCCCGTGCATGGGACTTCTCAGCTCATAGGGACCAGCCTGCTTTGTGGGGTCTTGCCTGCCTGGTACGAGTGCTCCAGTGGCCCCGCAGTGCCTCCAGAGCCCATAAATAGGAACTGCAGCGATTGCGTGTTCAGAAGTGCTTGCCTCTGCTCTCAGTGCTCCAAAAGAACAAACTCATGGCACCCGGCTCCATTTGCCAAACTAGCATTCTTGATTCTTGAAGATTTTTCAAAACCTTCTGCTGATGTTTGCTTACGTGAGCATATGCATTTTTGTGGGAAGTCTTTTCCTGACGTCCACATACAAGTATATGAGGGGCTTCTGAAAATTCATGGGGAAAAATTCCATTAGCTTTCTATTCCATTTTTTCCACGAACTTTTTGAAGCCCCTGCCTCCTTGTAAGTATGCACATTGCTGAACGTAACAATAGAAATATGTCGAATTCTGCAATGCCGTGGGGACTACTAGAAAGTAAATGCAGTAAGATACAGCTTTTAGATGTTTAGGCAGCCCCTCTCAGAAATTGGTCTGGATTATTGAAAGTAAAACCTGAGTATAACAATTGTCATTTTAAAATCATTTAAGTTTTTCATGAAGTGTTCTGAAGAAATAGAGAATAATGTTTGTTAATATTCAGATCTAAATTTGCAAGCAGGTAGGTGGGAGCAATTCCTAGTAGAAGAGATTTAAAAGCTTCTATTGAAATAAAGATCAATTAGATCCTAATTTCAAAAATTGTCTTTGAGAACAATACAAGGCTTAGAAAATGCCATACCACTCCGTTCATATTAGAAAGATAAGCCATAATTATAGCTTTTAATTATTTACCAAGATCCTTGGGAAACTTTTTCTTCCAGAGGAAATAAGAATGTAGAGAATATTTCTCTTTTTATTCTCAGAGCACATCGAATATACACTATCTTCAGTTTTTCCCTTTTCTGAGGTGAGGGCTACATGGGATGACCCATGCAGGCTCTTAGGTCTTTGTCTTCGACACCGCGGTGGTGCATAGAACTAAAATCTGACCACTGTTAACCACCCTTTGATGTAATGGGAAGCTGAGAAGATGCATTGTGGAATCTGCCATCCGATAAAAATCCATCACTAGATTTCTGTTAGGTTGTTTTTTTCTGTGCTTTAAGTAAATTAGCTGGTGGGCTTATAGCTTAAAGCTAATGGTGAAAAGGGGACATGTGCTTTAATTAAATCGCATTAGTTGTGGCCAATTAGAGTCCTCCCAACTTAGCCAGACTCTAAATTTATAGACGACAGTGTTAAGTACCCGTTACCCAGAATCAGTTCTCCATTTGAAACTCAAATCTCAAATTATGTTTCTCTTTACATTCAAAGGCTAATTTTCATTTGAATGCAAGTAGTTGGAAGGGGTAATTGATTATGTATTTTCCTCTACTTATGCCCTTCAGTTGTTAATTTATGTCCTATATATGTCCATCAGTTATTTTCAAAATAACTTTGAAAAAGCCTTAGACCATTCATATTAAAGAGATATTCATAACAAATCCCAATCTATACGACGATTCTTGGCATTTAAGGATCACTCAAATACGAGAACCTAAATAAAGATTTTTCTCTCAATTATTCTTAAGCTCTGAAGAAAGGGCCTGGGGACATTCATAAGGTTGCTTTGCTTTTTATTTCTCCTGCGTCATTAACCTAAAGACGCCTTCTAAAGATCACTGCTAGAAAGTTAGACTCTGAAGTTAAAACATACCTGAATTTTACCCAAAACACCCAGCTCCTATCTTGTGGTAATTACATACTATTGCAATATTGCTTCTAGTGTTTAAAGGTAACATTTGATTCCAGAACATTATCTGAAGCAAAAGTCTTTTTTAAACTCTGACTTCTATTTCATCTTTAACAGATTACTACATGTAATTAAAAAATCTGCCAGCGGGAAGGCAAGTCCTATCTAGATGTGGATGTATGACTTGGCAAGACTTCCTAGTGGGCATCACAATTCACAGTGACGCCATTTGTTTGAGGCAAAAACTTCTTTTACTTTTGGGGGAAGTATTCTACTTAGCCCCCTCATAGTGTATTCCTATTATAATTCAACCTCCAGGAGGGTTGAGACTTCTGAAATCCTTTCTTTTTATTGGCAGTTCATCATGTAAAGCTGAGTCTCACCAAAGAGCCCAGGCTCTCCCTGTCCTGTGTGATAGCTCAGAACCAACTTCCGTTGTTTGAACCCCTTTGTTCCCATAAATAAATTCCAGAGAAGAATCAACACCTACAGGCTGGGTCCTCAGACGTCTAAAGTCAAAACAAGCAAACAAAAATGAAGTTGGTGACCATCCAGGAAGACAGTCAATTTCTTTTTCATAGTAATTCAGTCTTACGAACCTCTTTCCTGCTGCTCAAGAACAGATTTCTGGGAAAAACACTAAAGATGCCCAAATTTGGTTTCTATTTCCAGAAAGGTAGATTACTCAGTCTCTGTAGAGGATTTAAAACTATTTGGACTAGAGCAATATTTCAAAGTCACCCAGAGCATAAAATGCCGATTATACTTCTCTTCCCTGTGGTCATCTCTCCCCATCACTCGGAGGGAAGGACTCAGAGCGGGTGGCTTGTGGTCCCTGGACAAAGTAAGCCCCTAAGTGAGCAGGTGAAGCCTAGTCAGAGTCCACGACAGTCACGGATTTCCTCGAGTGGTTGGTGATCCAAGAGGCGCTCCGGGTGGCTTCCAGACTGCAGGCGATACGTGCGTGCTGGAGCTTGTTCTCAGAGTGGCTTCTACGTAGGACTTAGTGAATGGCGTGAACACTAGGATCCGAGTTTGGCTGCTGTTCTGCTCTCCCTGTACGGACTTCACTGCGCCGCGAAGCTTAGTTCCGAAAGTGCCTGAGTTAATTCAATAATTAGAGAATGGGTTTGCATATGATTTGCATGCTTAATGTACTAACACATGAAATGTTCCCATAACCCTCGCTTCACCCCACCCATCTCCGCCCTCAGCCCTGTTCCCTGCTACCCCCGGGTTTCCCAGCTCTTGCCTTGTCTGTTGAGGCCTTTTTGAAAACTGCCTGTTGAGCTCAGCCAAGGTACAGCTCAGCTAAACGGACCGGGGCTGACTTGGGTTAGTGCTTGGATTGAGCTGCCCGACACCAGCAGAGACTGGACCAAGGGAACTTTCGATGCCAACCGGATCCTCCTTTTGTACCGTTCCACGGAGTTGCGTGCAAACTTCTGTTGTTCTGTTAATGGTGTTACCTGTGACTTTAATGTACAATACCTGTTTGCTATGTTGTTGTTGCTTTACGGAGATAAATGTGGAAAGCAAGGGAGGGGGGCTGATGGGGTGTTAGACTTGGGGAAAGTTTTTATTTAAGGCTCCATAGCTGCATGTACCTAGAGTTTGAAGCTCTTTCCACTTAAAGTTTATCACATTCCTCTGGAAATCAGATTAAAATCCACATAGCCTACATTTTGAAGTTCATACCAGTTTTTTGTTTTGAGAACACATCGCAGCCGCTTGAGAGTCAACATTTGGGAGAAGAGAGATTCAAAACAGGAAGCTAGAGGAAAAAGTCCTACAATTCATTGTAGTCCGTGTTATCTCCTTTTCCCAAATGAAAATTTAAGTAAATGTATAGAAAAACCTCAAGCATCAGATGAGGTAGGGATGAGCCATAAAACAGAAAAAACACTCAGGCAGGTCTGACAGATGAAGTCTTACCCAGTATCGATGGACAGAGGATAGGAGAATCGGGCAATATGCAGGTAGATCAACTAACGGCAGAATAACATGAAGAGTAGCTCAGAATAGCACATGCCGGAAGCGCCGAGAAGTGCTGACTCATCACCCAGCCCGTGAAAAGCCAAGGACACAGGCCGATGCAAACCGTGCTCTCCCTGGAGAGGGGATGACCTACCTCAAGGAAAAAGGCATCAGTCCTTGTAATGCCTCTAAGAAAAGGCCTTTCCACTCCTGCAGGGCGCTAGAATTTCCTTCTGATCCTTCAAAGCTAGTCAGAAATTTCCAGAAGACAGTACTTTTGTCTAAAACTTTGCCAACATTGGCAGCCACCTCATATTTCATCTAATACAAGTCCAAACTGTACAGGGTAAAAACAAAAATGCTAGCCCTCTTCCGCAAAACTCACTCCCTGTCTAAACCCTTCTTGAAGCAGAGTGGTTCTTAGCCTTTGGGTAGATCTAGAGCCTTCTCAAGAATTTCGTGAAAGCTGTGGAGTTTCTCCCCACAACCCTACACTCACAATCAAAATTTCAAATTCTGATCCCAAACTCCTTGGGAAACCAACGCTTTAAAAACCTATAGGGAACCAACCCCTTTGCACTTACTTCTATGGCAGTTTGTTTTAGAGCAGACGAGACCTTTTTGTACTCTTCCAGTTCCTAGGAAAGGTCATTGCTCATTAATTCTACAAAACCAGCTGAATCCAGGGTGGAAGAGCGTGTCTGGAAACCTGGCTGGAAATAGAGTTTCATTTGTGTGCATTTGAGACAAAGACCTGAACTTTTAAAAAATCAGAACCTTAACCCCAAAGAAGAGAAAGAACCCTCTTCTGTAAGGTATAATTAGCCTGGAACCCAGAAGAGGCTTGACAACACAGCCCTCTAACCTAACAGCTGCTCGAACTCAGCAGTGACAGTAATAAAATAGGTACAGTCGAGTCTCATGGAAAATCATAAATGAAATGATGACATGTCTGCCTGCCTTCGTGCATATAGAAACCCAGATTGTGATAGATCATTAGATGTGAACGCACTTCTAATTGTGAATCAAGGATCGTTAAACACATGCATATACACAGAGGACCAAACTTGTTTTTAAATGTTGCGTTTTTCATTGGTACTTGATGTTCTCTCAGGAAGGTAGTTACCTACATCCGAGATGATCATGGTGGCATTCATTTGTACCTCTGAAGTTAGAGAAGAAAAGCTGGTTGTCCCCCATGCGTCCGTTCTCCTTGAAGATTTTGTGTTCTACTGCACAGCACCTTTTATGAAGAGATGTAAAATGGCCCGGTGTACCTGGCACCTGCCATATCTGATGACACATATCGAGCTCTCAATTCCATGTGTCAAAACAACTGAAAAACATATTTCAGACGGTCAGTTTTACAAACAAAATTCCTTCAAGGCTTGTACGGTTTTTTTCTTTGGTCTCAGGCCGTCTATCATTAGTAAATCTGTCATGAACATTTTCCTGTGTGATTTAAATTGGGTGGCATTCTAAAACTAAAATAATTCCACTTCTTCACTGTGCAAAAGATAACAACCCAGCTTTGAGCACTATGATGCTAATACATTTTTTAAAAGGCACTAACCAGAGGAAGAGTAGTTAGACAGACCGTGCACCACACGCTATAAAGCGAACATGGGCTAGCTCCAGGGAATGAACTTGGCCTGTTGCTCCTATCACATCTAGAATAAATATGATTTTCAGACAGGAGACTGGGGAGAACCGTCCATTACGCTGCGACCCCCGAATGAAGCCACGGCCTCCACGCCAGTACAGTACTGGCAGCATCACCCAGAAAAGCTCATCTTCCAGTCCTGTGATTACAAGGCGTTCGTAAGTTGCTCTCTTCTGTATCGGCTATTGGGGGAGCTTGGTGGGCCATGACGGTATACGTCTGTCTTCAAATTATAGCAAAATGCCCAGTGTTGGAATTCCTGAATTCATTTTCCCCCCTTCTCTTTTTTTTTCTAAAATAGCCAACCCCCAATTGAAAGACAAAGGTCCACTAGAGCTTTTGAACCCTTTTATTCTTGAACCCTTAAGATCTGGTTTGGTTTCTTGCATATCTGCCTGTTTAAACAAAGTGCATGCAGTGTGAAGCAGTCTTAAAACAAAAGTGTGTATGAGAACAGCGTGTACAGACCTTGCCACCTCCTCACCTGTGATCTCAAAACATTGAGTCTCTCACTTTGTATAGATACCAGGTCCTTTTTATTGTCATCATTCATATTAGATTATTGTTGATCTTGCTGCTGCTGTTTTATTTTTAGAGACTCCGTTATGCTTAGCTGAGACTTATGAGTAATATGAACAGGTACATGTTCCAAAGATGTTGTAGGCTTTGTGGCAGGTGGTGGTTGTCATGACTACCGCAAGACAAGTACCTGAACTCTCTGTATTCCATTAAAACCCTCTGGATGGAATTGAAACCTCTCTCTCTTAATAAGAAATGCTTCAATTAGGGTAAACGTTCCCAGAATAACTTAAAAGATAAGGATTGCACCAAGGTCCTGTTTCTTAATGTGATAAAGATGTGAGCTTTCTCATGGCCATCGAGGGCCCCACCCTCCCGTCATGCTCTCTGCCCATCTTTTATTGCTTACCTAACCCTGGTAGCACTGGATTCGTTTCAGTAGGAACTCCCTCCAAAGCTGCAGGGGGAAAGGCTGGTTGCTTTCCTCCAGCGCTCAAACCTCTGCATTTCCTTGAACAGCATGTCTTTCTTCAAGGCCTTGGCCAAGGCCTCTGCTTTTGTGCCCTTGCGCATCCCCTCCACGTCAGGGACTGCACACGTACACAGCCAACCCCAGGCCCTGCCTCTGCAGTGGCAGGAGGCGCCAGACACCAAGGAAGTGGCCTTTGAAGCTCATAAAATAAGTATGTTTACTGACTTTTAAGAAAGGTGTATTGAGGGCCTTTCCCATTGTTATATTTAATTTTGGAAGTACATTCTAACCAACCACCACCCAGGTGCCTTGGGATCTGTTCCGGTCATGGTAACTCCGTGTGTTTCAGCGCAGAACTGTGCGCTATGGGGCTCTCCGCGGTTTCTGGAAGGAGATCACCATGCGAGGCTCCTAAGATGATGCTGAGAGCCCAAACCACCAATCTTTCTATTCACAGCAGCACCCTACCCGTGGATACCTGACAAGGACTCCTGAAGGGCATGGGGTGGGGG